TGTGAGCTGGCTGCGCATGCGGTGGATACAGGTTGCTGGTGCCGGTGCCGGTGCTGGTGATGGGTGCCGGGTGCCGGTGCTCGTGCTGTGAGCTGGCTGTGCACGTGGTGGAGACAGGTTGCTAGGTGCCGGCGCCGGTGTTGGTGGTGTAGCTTGCATGTGTGAGGGGGGTCTATTTTCGGATCTTTTTCCTAGGTAGCGAAGCTATGGGGTTCTTACTTCCAAAAAATGAGCTGCCTGAGCGCGCTTTCGAGACAGGTTTGGTGGAGACAGGCTGCTTCTGACAGTGAAGGGTAACAAACCGCTGCTTGCAGCAGTGAAGGGCGACCAAGCGCCGCTTCTGAATGAAGTGCCAGCAGTCATGGGCCGCATGAACTTATGCACGCGCAATCATACGGTGTTGTCGCTTGAGCGTTCTTTGTTTTTTAGCGCTGTGGGGTATTTACACTCTGCAGGTTCTGTTTTGCGACAGCGTGTCAAGAGCTGTACTGTTTGCGCGCGCACTTTTGTACGTATAATGTTCTATGCGCAACGTCAGGCTCTCAACCGACCATTGTTTCAGCGTGTTTCAGCATGCTACACACGCACTAGTCGTGCTGGATACTGCTTGGCCTTGGGCGAGCGAAGCCTACGGGCTTTGCTGTTTGTGCGCGTACTTTTTTGCGCATAATCTTGCACGCGCAAGATCATACGGCCTTATCGTTCTGCAGATCGTTGCTTCAAGCATGCTACAAAGTCAATTTTGGCGCTGGATCCTGCTTGGCCTTGGGCCAATGACACTTACAGGCTTTGCTGTTTGCGCGCATACTTTTGCGCGCATAAACTTATACGCGCAAGATCGTAGGCTGTTATTCCCCAAATAGGGATAGCTATGGGGTTCTTGCTGCAAATAAGAAGGAGCTGGCTGCGCGCGCTTTCGACAGGGTGTCGGTACTGGTGCTGGTGTTGTGGTCCTGGGTGCTGGTGCTGTGAGCTGGCTGAGCGCGCGTTTAAGATGGACGGCGGCGATGGTCGGGTGCTGCCGCCGCTGCCGGTGTTGTCAGCTGGCAAAGCGCACCGGCGCTGGTGTCTGCTGATTGTGGCTGGCTGTGCAGGCTGCGTACATTCTTGTTCCAGCCAGTCGCATGTCAACAGGTCGTGGGATTCAACAGGTCGTGGGATTCTGCCTAGCTATCTGGGTCTATGCTGGTGTAATTTTTCTTTTGCGGCCGATACGACTACTGTGAAGATCTTTTCTCGAGCCTGCTGCTCCTTGCATTTTGCGAGGTGTTTTAATTCGATGCAGCTAGTGCGGAGTTCAAGTTTTCGATTTTTTGTGACGCATGATCGTTTATTCAGTTTTGAGCCTTGTGTGAAGAGTCGCTCAACTTTTGGATTCAGATATCGTGTGGTCTAGCTTTCACAGACCAACCGAGCGCCACATAAGGGTGAATAAGCTATAGCGCCCTTTCCTTACTTGTAAGCTAAGAGACTACTTGTCGGTGTGTAACGCAATTGACTCGTACGCGCATGGCACCTGGGTTCTTGTGTCATTGTAGACTTTGCTGGACTTTGACTTGGCCTAGAAAGAGGAAAAGACAGCGTCATTGCGCTCCATGGTGGAAGTGTTTATGAATTGCCCCGCATGTAAAGGTCTATCCTTCTACAGGGCACGCCTTAGTCACTCTCGCCCCCTTCGACTCCACCCTGCGCCGCTCAGTCTGTGGTCTAATGCTGGCTGCTGCTGCTGCTGCTGCTTGTTGCTGCTATTGCTGCTGTTCATT